ACAGTTATTCATCTCGTTGACATAAGATAAAAAGTGCAACGGGCCAAGTACTGATCCTTGGGCCGTGCCTTCTGTCACATTCTTAGGGTCACTGAACGCGTTATTTAATTTAACCGTAAATGTACGATTTTGGAGGTAATTTCTACACCAATTAAGTAACGGACCCCGGATACCACAATCATCCAGTTTATGGACTAAAAGTTGATGTTGCAGCGTGTCAAAGGCACGAGAAAAATCAATAAACAAGGCCAGAACACATTTTTTAAGGTTCAAATGCTCGTTTACCTCATCTGTAAACTTACATAGAAGGTCCGTAGTACTTTTACCTGCTTGAAATCCGTACTGGTTTTTGTTTATTACTTCGTGCTTGCGGTAAAAATTATGAATCTGCTCACAGATAGCTTTTTCAACTATTTTATCAATATTAGAAAGCAGAGTGATTGGTCGATAGTTGGAGTAATCATCGTGTTTGCCCTTTTTGAAAACAGGTCTCACACAGCCTATTTTGAGGTCGTCGGGATATTCTCCAGACGTAATACTGCAGTTAATTAAATTGGCAATGGGTAAGGATATATGTTTATCAACCATTTTTAGATCAGCTACTCTAATACCGTCAGGTCCAGGAGCCTTATGTGAGTTCAGTCTCTTAATAATTTCGTTAACATTGTTCTGAGAAACTTTTTTTGAACAAAATACTTGAATCCACCGGTCTCTGATAAGTTAGTGGTTTGGTTAATTTTAAGCTGCATTGAGGAACAATGTCTTTAACTACCTTTTGAAAGCTGTTTGCGAAGTTGTTAGCTATCGCTTTGGTGGTAAGGCCCTGTCCGTCAAAAGCCTTCAGTATCGCCTCGTCAATGGATAATGTTACTCGTCTTAACATCTGGTTAATGATTTTATAAACTTTTTTTGTATCTTTAAAGTTATTATGTATTTCATTAAGATAGTATGTATTTCGTTTTGATTCTATTAGTTTATTGAGTTTATTTCTAGTTTTATTATATTGTAGTCTTATTTTAGGATCAAAAGAGCTATTTTTCCAAAGCTTAAATAAGTAGTCCCTTTTTTCACATAATCGGGTAACATTACCATTGATCCAAGGGGCTATGGGCAGATTCCTACGATTTTTAGAATACCTAACAGACCTACTAATAGTCGCAGTCTTTATAGCTGTTAGGAACGATTTTTTTATAAATGAAAGTATATCATTTGACGAACTCATGTTATTTGTCTGTTTCCAATCTGTAATACTCACCGCATTACTAAAAATGGTATGATCAAAAGTAGTTTTTTGTGTTACATTCTGCACGCATCTTGTAGGTGGTGAATCGTCAAGACACGTAAATACTATGCCCCGATGGTCAGCCAATGCAACGTCCAACACAGCTAAGTACGGATCTGATGTGGGGAACCTCGCAAATATGTGATCAATGCAAGATTTAGTGACTTTATTTTTTCTTGTTTCAATTCTAGTATAGTTTGAGATTCCGCACATTAATCCGCGCTCGCTGAGTGTGCAAATAAGTGTCCCTGTAAGATGAAATGGTTTTTAGGTCAATGTTGGAATCGCCGATTAATAAGAGGTTTTTATTAGTGTCGTAGTTTGAGATATACCTGCCAAGCTCCTTTACAAACAAATCCTTGTTTCTTTTTGGAGGTTTATAAATTGCACATACAACTACATCTACGGTCGGGGTCAGTTTTAAGGTACCCGTTATGTTTTCGAACATGATACTTTTATGTGGTGTTAGTGTAAACTTGAGATGGCTTTTGACATAAGCAATGATACCGCCTCCCCGAATTAAACCAGATCACGTCGTTGCAATCGTTTTTGAGAAATATTTTACTGATATTCCGATCTTAACCACTAAGTAACTGAATTCCTCTCCTGCCGTCGTCGAATCATTACTAAAACAAAATGTAAATGCGTGTACAAAGAATTTTACATTTGATAAAGTGTCATCAAATATTGTAAAGTATTTTAAGACTATTGACATTAAGAAAACCGCCGATCTGTGGGGATTTTAGTTAAAGTTATTGCATTTATAATAGATACAATCGCACCTCAACTATCTATTATTTTTAATACTAGTATCGAATCTTGCGTGTTTCCTGATTTAATGCATAGTAAAGTAACACCTTTATTTAAATCTGATAGTACATTGGACCTCGGTAATTTTCGACCTATTTCTGTAGCGCCAACACAGTAAAATTGTGTTGACCTTGAAACATTAATCAGGTAACTTCAACGCTACGGTATAAGAAGTGATGCTCTTAAATTAATTAAATATGAAATATATTTAAGTAACAGAACGCAAAAAGTTGTTATTAATAGTATGAGTTCTTCCGGGTCGATTGTAGAAATGGGCGTGCCTCAGGGTTCAATTCTCTGCCCCTTTCTGTTTCTTGTGTATATTTATGAATTACCTTACATAGTAGGGGATAACCATGATATAGTATTATTTTCTGATGATACTATATTAATTTTCAAAATAATCTAATCTAATCTTCAAATTACGACGAAGTAAATAATGCTATAGCTAATTTAGTTAATTGGTTTAATCTTGATAATTTGCATTTTAATGGAACTAAAACTAAATGTATGAAATTTGTAACCCCGAATGTCAAAAATGTTAATATCTACTAATGAAAGTTTAAATGGGGAGGAGCAGGGTCTTGTTGATATCACCATTTTTCTTGGAATTTCACTAGACGCAAAGCTACAATGGTTCCCCCATATATCAAAACTAACTAGCAGTTTAGTTCTGCAGCATACGCTGTAAAAAAGATTAGAACTTTTACCAGTGTTGAAACAGCTAGAATTATTTACTTTAGTATAGTATTAGTATTTTGCTATGGGGACACGCGACTGACACTGATATATTTGTTTTACAAAAGAGGGCCATTAGAGCAATATATTATTTAAAACCAAGAGTCGCTCAGAAAAAAAATTAAGGAAATTAATATATTAACTCTGGCCTCTCAATACATTTATGAAAATGGTACGTTCACAAAAATAAAAGTAGTTTTGTAAAAATAAGTGATATTCATTCTGTAAATATTAAGAACAGACCCAAGCTAGTAGTACCAGTTACTCGACTCCACCAAGTCAGTAATTCATTCTTGTTATTATAATATTAAGGAATTTATGGATAATAACCCCTGGGAAGGGTGATCGCTACCAAGCTATTTCTAATTTGTTTTGTGTTGTTAATTGGAACATACATGATTGTAAGCTATTATTTGAAAAAAAAAAAAATAGTCCCACTGGGTTTCTTGCTGATTCTTCCGAGGACAGAGGTTTTTTTTTTTGGCAAACCAGTGCTAAATGAAAAAAGTGCCTTTTAGTAAGTATAGTTTATAATCTATATTGAACACTGACCTCTATATATACAAGTACGCTATAGAAGTCAGTGATATTGATAAAAAAGTTTGTCTCTGTTTCTATTGTATAAAACATCTCAATAAAAAGGATTACAAAGGGATGACTTAATTATTTTATTAGTATTCTCTCCCAGTAAACCCGGGACGTGTACTACGTGATATAGATGCCAAGAATAAAAAAATAAACGTTACGGTAAACCAGAAAAAGGTATATGGATACGGAGGAGGCGAGCCTACCCCTCTGGGTGACAGGCGTGAGTGTTTATGTATGTATGTAGAAAACAACAACAATATTAAATGCTAAACATTATATAACATTAAGCGAGACGACGAACTGTCAAATATTTAATCCATCACAATAAATTACAAATGGGATGCTTAGGATCCATTATCAAACAACCAAATATTATTTTCAAATCAAAATATAATTAACAAAACATTACATTAAATTAAGATAACCATAAGAATTTATAAATAAAAAACAAACAAAACTTTATATAAAGTCCGCGCGTTCTATCTTGACTTTAACAAAATGGTGACAAAAGGAGTGGGAGGGTGGGCGGTAAATAAAACTAAAGATGCTCGGTTAAAATGACGTAGATAATCAATTATAGTTATTATCGACTATGATTCGATTTTTTATGGTTCATCGGTGTGTGTATATGCAACATATCGTTTTAATTACAGTGATTATGAAGATGTGCTTCAAAGATTTTGTTGATAAAATTTAAGTTATATTATTTTGAGGTTACTGAAAGAATTCAATGACCCCACTAGTATCATGTATTTACTATACATTCAAATTGTTTATCGCAATTATTTATAAGATATTATTGTTTTATTAACATACATAAAGATATTACAAATATAAAATCAGATTATTGTTTGAATTTACACTGACCATCTAAGCTTAGTTTGGCTTTATTCATTAAAGGAACCAAACTTACTGTTTGGTTCCTTTAATGAACTAACCACATGGCGAGTACAACTACAGGAGTACGACTTTGAAATCATTTATAAAAATGGAAAACAGGTCCTAGAAATATGTCCGTTATTTCCAATGTTTCAGGATCTTTACATACACAAATAAAACCCCGCTCCTCCAATTCTGAAAAATAGATAACTATTGATGATCTATACTTATTATTAGGTATTTTATAATGTATTAATTGTTTAATCGGTACATACTGAGTACCGAAGAAAAACAGCGCGCTGCTATGATATTACGTTTTCCCGGTAATGTTGGTCCCATAATAACCAGGTTATTAAAATTAATTGGTCCTGTCCGCTCCTTTATACAATGCAAGATTTTAATCATCGTTCCCTCGGTTCCCCATTGGTCACTGTAAACAAAATATTTTTTTTAACCAGAATAATCTCCGACAAAAGTGCGGTGTGATTACGCATTTTGGATATGACTATCTTCAAATTTTGTATCAGTTACATATCATACATATTGGTGACTACGTGATGGGAAGTGGCTATTAAGTCCCACGGACACCTGCAGCCAACTTCATACAAAGAAAGCAGGTTGTGAGCCACAGCATCAACCCACCATTAGGTGGACTACGTTCTCGTTAGTCACACTTATACTATAAAAATATAGAATTACTCACCGTATAAATCTTTCGGAATCCGTAGACTGTTCAGAGTCGCCTAGTGACACTTTAGTCCTGTCCAGGCTACCCAGAGGCGTTTCAGATTCTTCGGAGGGTTTGTATGATTGCATGTCTGCTATGCATGCTTCTTGATGCACCGCCGTAACATGTTCAGTTCTTGGAAGCTGTATATTCTGTGGTATGTTTCCTTTTTCAGCCTCTGTAAATTTAAAAAACAAGTATGCATTGATGGCCTGAGCACTTGACCATAGAATAAATAATAGAACTAACTTGACTAAGGAATTGCGAGTCCCTCACTCAACCCTAATAGGGGCCAATGCTTGTTCAAAAAAGAAACCAGATATATTACGCATTGTTGAGTTTGCTCTGCTTATATATATTGTTAACATACGTCTTATTTTAACGATCATTATATCACTATGTTTATTTACTCTTCTGTAATAAGTTTGCATTATGATTCGCTATAGAAATTGATGTTGTTTAAAAAATCGAAGTATCGATATAAATTTGTCGATACCGTATTTATCTACGACCAATTGTTTTTAAGATCTATCAAAGTTGATTTTAGTATTATTTCTTCGAGCATTCGTGTTGTAACTTACAAATTGGTGAATAATACAACCATGTGATTTACATCTCATCAGAGATGTTGTCTCTACATTTTACGAGTATAGCAAGTTCAATGCCACAGAACCGAAGACCCTTTCTACATTAATATATTATGAAATTGAACTATTAATAAATACCACTAATTTAAAATAAGCTTTCGGTAATAATAAAATAAAAACAAAAACTTTTAAATAGAAAAATAAATCAATTAAAACTATCAAAATTAAAATAATACGCAACTAATTGGTAGTATTTATTGATAGATTTTTCAAAATATGTTTATATGTAAAGAAAAAAATATAAAATATCAGTGCCATAGGCTTCTATTCCGTTCACCAGTTACACCCTATTTTTTCCAGTATAGTGCAAGAGTGTGTACGCACGCACAGGCACTCTCGACCCTCGCTCTCATAGTTCAATGGGAATCGTGTCTGGAGAAGGAAGTGAATACTAGTGTATCTACGTAAGAATTTCCTTACCGTGAGCAGAAATAGCCGCCTCGTTGAGATGGCCCATAGTGCGACGTCTTTTTGCCTGCAACCAATACATACATATATTATCGATAGATGTAATATTTTTTTATATATTAGGGATGATGAACGGCCATACAGTCCCCCTAATGGTAATAGATGGGATGCTGTGACCCATAGAAATCTACGTCTATCCTCGATTAGAAATCAAACTGCAGATATGTTGTCACCCCTGAAGACAAAAATGGAATGCCTCATTTCCAATAAAAATAGTCCTAAGTTTATAAATTTATAGTTATTAAGTAATTTATAGTTAAAAAATTATAGTCATTATGCAACTATGTCATTGTTATTTAACGGTCCACAGAAACCGCACATAGCAATATTTTTTATAGCATTGGCAACCCAGTCAACCCGATGGGAAGTGGATGCTGTGGCCCATAGACATCCACATTTATCCTCATTTAAGAATCAAAATGCAAACGCGTTGTCACCCCTGCGACTAAGATGGAATGCCTTGATTCCAGTATAACGGTCTCCGGTACTCTACACTCACCGTACGAAACACAGCAGCATTACTCTGCTATTTTACGCTGGTATTCTGTGAGAGTGTGGTACTGCCCCGATCGCGCCGACGAGTTCGTAAATAGCTGCAGCGTGGCTGCGTGGCTCTACCACGTCTAAAATCTCTTTTTGACACGTCTGATATATATTTTCTTATGTATGTTGACCGATTTCCCGGAAACTGCTGAATTCATTTCAACGATTCCCTTTATATTAAATAGCTCATCCAATAGGGTCCATCCATTACAGTCCACTATAGTTAACTGGTGAACATAAACCTCCGCCGTAGATATAAGCTGATTAACCATATATGCCGCGCTTAGCTTGCGGGTAGTCCTCGTGTTTTGTTTAACAATTCGTCGGAATATTTTATGGACATCCGATAGTATTTAAAAATAATATCAGGATAAGCTTGTAATTAAGCTCTTTTTACATAATGTTGACCATTAGTGTAATAAGGGGATGCGCCCAGTATCAATGATACAGCAACAATGCATTCGCAATCATAAAACCCTCATCCATTTCCGCTGGCAGAATGTCTGTACTCGATGCCTAGCGTCTTTCAACTGAGCCTTGTTATTCCGAAAAGAAATTAATGTACGCGTGTGGTGTATTTACGGAATCTTGAGTCGATATTACGAACCGGTTTTTCGAAACGGAATTCAGACATATGTGGCAGACCTTACCCACAACCTTGCCGGAAATTAGTGGCTTGTGTCTAGTAGTGGGACGTACATTAGACTGGAACATTACAATTAAAATACGGGTGCTTTATTAACAAGTTAAAATACAAGTTATGAAACAAATTACCTCCATTTCTATGTCGTCCATCGGCGTCCTTTAAGACTTCCAGGTTGCTTAGGAAAAGCAGTGAGAAAATTTGAGGCAACTTGGAGCGGATCTTTTCCCCTGCGAGTGCGGGACGACTGAACTACGTATCCCCGTGTACTCGGATGTTCACCACGTCCTCCAAACTATCTAATTTTTCCAAAATATAGTTTTTGTACTTATTTTGTAATTGAAATAACAACGATATAAATTTTGAATTTTTTATCCATTTAAGATTGTAACGACAAAATGAATTCTTAAAATTATCTACTTTTAATGCTTAATTGGACATATTGCGTATAGTAGAAAATTATTAAATAATTTTATTTAAGAACGTTTTCGTTCTTTAATAAAACAATCACGTGTATATTAGGATTATTCCTAAAACGTATGATTAATTCAATAATTATGATTTCTAAATATAAAAATTATTACAATATAGTAGATAGTTTAGAACCCCGTAAACAATATATAGTGGTATGGTATCACGACTATGTTTATTCCCAACGCCATATTGATATTGAAACGGAAGTTTAAATTATTTATTTAAGTAGGAATCTACCTTAATAATTACTATTTTTAATTTTAATTACTCATATAATATATTTATTAAGAAGTAGTTTATTAATTTTTTATTATTAGGTTGTTTAGTTATAATAAGTTATTATTTTTTTAACTTTTTAATTCGATTTATGGAAAAGGTAAACGCTATTTTACATCCAATTATATATGACTGTTAGCGGAAGTAAAATTTTATTTTTTGCATTTAATATTCCATTATGATTAAGATACCAAATTATACCATGAAGTGAAGTAGGTAATTTGTAACTGTAAAAAAGCTGTCGGTGTATGAAATACCTTGAACAAGTAGCATAACAGCTGTTGAATTATATACTTATTGCATATAACTTAGTAAGGTAGTTAAGCTAATTATACAATTTAAGTATATTGCTGCCACTGCTTCAACTCGCTTGACTGCCATGTTGCTTAGGGATATTGCATGTGCTCACTATTAGGTGGACTATGTGCTCGTTGTAATATTTATTTCTATTTTTAAAAATCTTTAAAACTAACATTAAACGAAATTTTTATCCAGTATATTATGAACTAGAAAAGGAGACATTATAGCACACAATCCATCTGATTAAAGGTGAATGCTGTGGCCCACGAGGGATGGATCCTCTAATTTACGAGGGGGTTATTCAGAAGTAGTCCGCCGCGCTGCTTGTCTTCGAAATATTTTTAGGCCTCAGACATACAACCGTTGGTACAAACTGTTTGCATTGAAAAGGTTTTTAATATTGTTAATTACAGATTATTATTTATTAAAAATTTAGTTGTTATAAATAATTAAAGTAATTAATTTAAGAACTGGATTTAATTTTTATTAATTAATTTGCTGCGGTATCCACTGGCCCATATCGTCCCTCAGCTGTTGTAAGAGGCGACAAGAGGAAAACTGCTGCAAGTGACGGACACCAGCATCATTCTGATAACAACCAGGGAGCTTGTGTACATACATACGTACAAACTGAAACTTCTTATCGACATATCATTCTTCTTTTATTTTGTATTTTACATAAGTAGGTTAAATAATAGTACTCATGTAGCCTCGGCGGTGAAACGTTACAAGAAAACGTGACTTTTTTTAAACACCTTACTGAATGTCCTCTACTGTTTTCATAAAGATGTTCCAGTTCAATAAAAAACTGCGGTTACCTGGCCGCTTGCCAAGCGTGGTAACTATGGCAAAATTCCCCATATGAGGCCTGTTTTCGGAAGTGACTTTATGCTCCGGGTGGTAGATTTTAGGGAGCGGCATTTTAGATAAGATTTGTCAGCTCCCTCGCTCTTAGTATTAAAATGTTGGGTAATTTTATAATATCGCGGTCCTCTCGATTTTTGGCTCCAGAAAATTGAAAAATCATCCGATTTCCATGATTTAAATCTTCGCCTTAATGGCGGATTTATGGAAAAAATATTGAAAATATCTCATCTCAAGATTTCACATAATTTTACGACTTTAAATGTGATCATAAACGCACTTCTTCGAATATAATCGTACATAATTTTTTGCAAAGCGTTAAACGAAGTTTATATTTTTTTTGTTAATCTACACAAAAGAGCATTGAAAATGTTTGTTTATTAATTTTTTATCTCACTTTAAGTTTTTATATGATTTTTTTGACTTTAAATGTTATCATTAACGTTCTAAAAATCGAAATAATTATAAAATTTAATATTTTGGTGTTCTGAGTGTAAGATCAAACGAAGCGAGCTCGGGACTTAGGGCATCCACACTCGGACAGGTTAGGTTGGAAGGAGATGTTGGGGTCGTGTGAGCGAGCGTTGCGAGCGAAAAGACCCCGCCATCTCCTTTGTGGTTATTTTTTTATAAACCACTCAGAAGTAGGAGCCCCGTGAAGCAGGGTTCCGTTGACCGGGCTTTCCTCGACTGCGCTACGTTGAGTGCGTGGTGCTTCCCTTTCCCAACTCTCTCCCAACCGGGGACCGCGATAGTATAAAATTACCAAACGTTGCTATAGCTCTAATTAAAATATAACGAGATAATTGCATTGAACGTTGTAAATGAAGAGATAAGAAACGGCTCCGCATGAACTAAGGTTGGAAAACCACAGCATTTCGAACATATATAGCCAATGTTTACCTTTATTATATGAGAGAGAGAGGTCAAACGAGCATATGGCTCACCTGATGGTAAGCGATTATCACCGCCCATGAGCAACTGCAACACCAGGGGAGTTGCAGATGCGTTGCCGGCCTTTTAAAAAGGATTAGGCTCTTTTCTTGAAGGTCCCTAAGTCTTTTTTTTTATAGAAGAGGGGGCAAACGAGCATGCGGCTCACCTGATGTTAAGTGACTACCGCCGCCCATGATCAACTGCAACACCAGGGGAATTGCAGGTGCGTTGCCGGCCCTTTAGAAAGGAGTAAGCTCTTTTCTTGAAGGTCCATAGGTCGTATCGGTCCGGAAAAATCGCCGGTGGTAAACTATTCCACAGAGAGGTTGTACGCGGAAGAAAACTGCTTTTGAAACGTACAGTGGTGGACCGCCAAGCATCCAGATGGTGTGGATGGTATCGGGACGTTTGCCGCGTAGTGCGTTCACGAAATTTGGCGGCTGGGATTAATCCGAACAATTCCTCAGAGCACTCCCCATGGTATATGCGAAAGAAAATGCAAAGAGATGCAACATCTCTTCGCAGCGCCAGTGAATCGAGCCGATCGAAAAGCACACGGTCTTCGACGATTAGAGCCGCTCTGCGCTGGGTGCGGTTCAAGTGGAAGGAGCTGGTACTAGGGAGCCCCAGCCCAGAGATGAAAACAGTATTCCATGTGCGGCCGAACCTGCGCCTTGTAAAGTTGCAGGCAGTGTGCCAGCAAGTCGTATTGGTCCGGAAAAATTTCTGGTGGTAGTTGATTACACAAGGAAGTTGTGTGAGGAAGAAAACTTCTTTTAAATCTCGCGATGGTGGACCGCCAGTCATGCAGATGGTATGGATGATACCGTGAGTTATGTTGCGATGTGCGATGGTGAAATTGTGCGACTGAAATCCGATCAATTCCTCAGAGCACTCCCCGTAGTAGATGCAATAAAATACGCAAAGAGATGCAACATCTCTTCGTAGTACCAGCGAGTCAAGCCGATCGGAAAGAGCTCGGTTGCTGACGACTCGAACAACTGCGCTGGATGCGATCAAATGGAAGGAGCTGGCACTGGGGAGCCCCGGCCCAGAGATGGGAACAATATTCCATGTGCGGCCAAACCTGTTCCTTGTAAAGTTGCAGGTGTGTGTGTGTGTGTGTGTGTGTGTGTGTGTGTGTGTGTGTGTGTGTGCAAGTGAGCCAGCATGAAATACTGTCCCGCTCTGCTGAGCACGCCAAGCTTTTTAGAGGCTAATTTGGCCTTCTCTTCCAAGTGACGACGAAACTGCACGTCACTCGATATGTCGACGCCGAGGATTTCAATACTGGCTTAGGCAACTAGGGGAGTGCCCTGAAACTGAGGAGATATGACGAAACGACGAACTGGCAGCTACTTCGCGTAGTGGTTGAAATTAATATATATGTTATCATAAACGTTCTAAAAATCGAAATAATTATAACATTTAATATTTTGGTGTTCTGAGTGTAAGATCGAACGAAGCGAGCTCGGGACTTAGGATATAGTAAATCAATTCCTGAACATTTTTTGGATGCCGCAAAACTTAATACACATTTCATAAATGTGTAATTTCGAACTGTTTTAAGTCAACCGACAACACAGGATGTTGTCGGTTGACTTAAAACAATTCGAAAATTTTGAAAGTATTCGTAGGAGTAACTTATCCGAGTTCAATTTTAATAGAGTGAGTGCATCAGAGATACAGAAGATTATTAATTCCTTTTCTTCTAACTCTAAAGGATGTGATGAAATTTGCATGAATATGATTAAGCTTACATTACCACACTCTTTAGTTGACATTGAAGCCATCGTTAATAAATCATTGTTAGGAGTATTTGCCGTTGTTTGGAAGTGCTCATTGATCATACCTATACCTAGGAAACAGAAAATAGACAGCTTTGATGACCTCAGGCCAATAAGTATATTGCCTGCCTTGTCAAAAATAGTTGAGAATTGTGCACAGTAACAAATTACTAACTATCTTAAAAATAATGCCATTTTTTCAGTCTTCCAATCGGGTTTCCGGCAAAAATTTAGCACAACTACAGCATTATTACACATTAAGGAGGATATTCTTACCGCCGCTGATAATGGACAAGGTACCATTCTAGTGCTACTTGATTTTTCTCGAGCTTTCGACCGCGTTAATATACCACTTTTATTGGCAAAGTTAAAAATATTTGGTTTTTCCGAAACGGTATGTTTGTAGTTTCAATCATACTTCTACGGGCGGAGTCAAAAAGTAAAATGCACCAATACTGAAGGTAATATTGATATTTCGCAGCCCCTATCAACTTCAAAAAGGCATTATTCAAGGT